TGCTTAGCAGCAATTGCGCCTTTCTGTTGTCTTTGCAGCGCGCCGGCCTTAAACGCGCTGCGTCGTTTGATCCCCGCGCCGCGCCGTAGAACACACTGCACGCTGGGCGGCTGCAATGGCTGATGTGTCGGAGAGGACGCTGCAGGTGTCAGTGCTGGTGGCGTTCGCCTCCGGAGTACTCGTGGGCTGGCAGGCAAATCGGTTGCGGAGGCGCTACCTGGACTGGAGGAAACGAAGGTTGCAAGACAAGCTGGCCACGACGCAGAAGAAGCTGGACCTGGCCTGAGAGTCGGCGCCGTGGGTCCCAGCTGGGGCCGGCTTGAGCCGGACTCCCCTCACCCCAAAATCTGCGGTGCGGTGCGCTTCCTGGAGCGCGGGTGAGCAGTGCAGTGTGCCTAAGGGGAGACGTTGGGGTCGGACGTTACCTTTTTATGAGGTAGCTCATAGCAATGGACTCGTTCCCTAAGACGCTAGAAAGTGGAAATGGTTTTCTCTAATAACTTGTTCTTCAGTATTAACTGTTTAGTTCACTGCGTATATTTAATGGTAATGCTTTACCGCGGGCAATACAGTTTTGTCTGGACATTTAACTTCAAAATGGAAAATATTGAAAAGCATCAAGTCACAAAAAAGTCGTGAATGTGTTTCTGCCACTTCCCCGGCCTCCATCATTCATTTTGATAACCCTTGGTAGCACCATAGTACATCTTGGCATGGAGGTTTTGTAAACTTCTACCCGAATTCTTCCGGGTAAAGTGGACAGAACTTTGGCCTGGAAGTCAGAAACATTGCATGCAGGCATATTTTTTTTCATCAGAGTTGTGCCCCATAAATTTTCTGGGCCTCGGTTTTCTTACCTGTAATACCAGATCTTACAGTTCATGGTGTAATACAATAATTTGAAGTTAAAGATTATCTATTACTAATTTTCTTTTCTTATGTTTCCCACAGCTTGTCAATGATGGATGTAAAACACTGGAAAGAAATAATGTCTTACTGCACTTTATGAATCTTTTTAAAATAAAAAAATCTTAAACATCTTTGGACCTTTCTTAGCCCCTCGAAGGGAAAGGAGTGTCTTGCTTGCCATTAACTACATCAGGAGATCTGGATTCTTAGAGCTGATATTTGTGGTTTTGAGCAGCCATCTGTCATCTTTCCAGGAGAATCTATGCCAGTTCCTTGGTACAGCCACAAGGCAGAGCTAGCAATGGAATCCTTATGGGTTCTGTTACTGGGCCTGTTCAAGAAAGCAAGGGGTACCGTAACTGAAGTATGATATATGTAAGATCAAGTGCAGAATATAAGTTTTTATTGGCTAAAAGTCTCCTTTATGTGTTGTGAAATATACATGTGAAGGAGAAACCCTCTTGAATGGAGGTCAGGGATAAATCCCAACCACTCTCCAGATTGAGTGACCAAAACCTTGGTTACTTTTGATTTGCAAGAGGTGTTTTCAGGCACACTGTCTTTGCTATGAAGGTCAGCTCTGTACTAACGTAAGACAATTTGGGAAAACTTTCTGCAGAAAGCCTCCCTTTCACTTCCCATCTTACAGGGGCTGCTATGCCTTTGTTTTCATTCATTCTGTGAATGCAGAGTGAGGACTGAAATGTTGGCTGTTAGAGCTCCATCCCATCTGGGCTATAGTTTCCTGAAGCTTCTAGTCACCATCACTCATTGAGGCTCAGAGAATTGAGGCTCTTTGAAAGGGTATGGGTTTCTTGAGACACATGTTGTCCCCAGGCTGTGGGAGTATGCCCATGAAGCATCTGGGGTTCTGATTGGTCTAGTTCTCCTTTTGGGGCTTTTCTCTGTCATGTTCCTGGTGGACCCGATCTTTCCATTGTTGACTGTCATTATTCAGGCATAGCATCCTGACACACTCACCCCCTCTCCTATCTCACCTCTGGTCATGTGCTGCTCAATCCCAGGAGTCCACCGTATAGGATCTTCAGCCTCTCCTTGTTTTCTTCCTACTGCTTCTTTATGCCACATCCATATTTCCCCAGTCAGTGGTGAGCAGTTCCCCTTGACATTACCCATCACCTTTACTGTATTTAAATGTGGTTGGTTTTTTCCTAGAAAATGCTGTCACATGGAGATAACACTTCATTAGCCAAATTGGAAACAGGAAGTTTTGAGCCAGGAGTCACATGGCAGTTGGATACCTTGGAAATACATGCCCTCACTCCCATTTATCATTGCCATTTAGTCACAGCAGGTACGTGTCTTGGTTGGCCCACTTCTGCTTCTCTACCTTGACTCCTTTTGTTCCCCATATGGGTCCGTCAGACCACCTGCTTCATTCGACATTGCTTCTGCCATGCCCTGGACCTTGTCCAACAGGCTTGGATCTATCATCACATTGAACTTGGCCTCTTTAAACAAGTAAACACACTTCTTAAGGAGAGCTGATATCCTCCACATCTCTGTATCTGCCTACTCTGGAGGCCGCTGGTTGTCTGACCCCCCCGTCCCATTTCTCAGTCATCCTGGGCTCTCGTAATAGTAGACTTCATCCCCACTTCTATAGTTACCCTTCATGACTGCTTTTTCTCTCATTTTGGCCACCAAACCTACTCCAGAGAGACACTTTACCTGTCTCACATGGCCCAGTACAGGAGAGATTCCATAGTGACCTGTATCTTTCTGTTTTTTTAGTATGTTTCTCTGTAGTCCTTAACCTCCCAATTTACACTTCTCATTCCTTAGAGCTCCCTCTCCATCATGTAAGACAAAGACCATTAGGTGAGAATTCCCACATCTCTCAATAGCTGTATTTTCAAAAGGGCTGCCCATTATGATCACCTAGGGAGACTTAAAAAAACTAATTCCCTTGCCAGATATGGCGGCAGCCACCTGTAATCCCAACATTCTGGGAGGCTGAGGCAGAAGGTTCACATTCTAGCTCAGCCTGGGGCAATTTAAGGAGGCCTTGTTAAAAAAAAATAAAGGCTGGGGATAAGCTCAGTGCAAAGACGCTGGGTTTAATTTCTAGTACCCTTCCCACCACTACCACACACAAAAGGTAACATGTCGCACATGCCTGTAATCCTAGCTTATGAGGCAGAGTCAGGAAGATGAAAAGCTCAAAGCCAGCCGGGGCAACAGTGAGACCCTGTCTCAAAACGAAAATAAAGGGCTGGGTGTGCAGCTTAGAGATAGAATGTTTTCCCAGCATTCATAAGGCCCTGAGTTCAGTCCCTAATATGAAAACCCCCAAAACAACCAATTCCTGCATGCCACTTCCCAGAGATTTTGGCCTGGGAATTAGGATTTTTAACCACTTAACAGTTTCCCCTAGCATCACTCGGGCAGATGCCCAGATATCTTTTCAACCAATCCTTGTATCGATGAATTTGATAGAATTGTCACTTATATTTTCTATTATAAACAACAAAAATGTGCTATTTTTTGTTATCCTGTATTTAAATAGTAAGTGGTTAAGGCTCCCCGGTGATTGCCATGCTCAGCTGAGGCTGAAACCCATTGTTTTTGAGGGTCTGTCTCATTCACTTTTCCTTAGGAGAGACAGGGGCCCCTTCCCAGGCTGACTTCTCTCTGGCCTTGGCTGTATTTTACATCTCTCTCTTGCACTGCGCCAGGACTTGATCCCAGTATACATTGTCTAGCATCTGCAGTCTCTTCCTGTTTAGCCTCTAGGAATGCACAAGTCTTGACTTAAAATTCCAATGAGAATGAGCAAATCACAGACAATATAGCATCTTGTAAACATGATGTTGAAAATACACAAGAAGCCAACACATACTGCATGATTACATTATATAATCCAAAAGGATGAAAAATAAGTTTGTGTGATTATAACATTATAACATAGGATAAAACCAAGAGATGGAGGGGGAAAGAGGACATAATGAATTAAGATGTGTTATGTACATGTACCATCCCACCACATGATCATTATGTGGTGCAAACGTACTAACAAAAAATAACTTCAGATAGTGTTTACCTTTGGTGGTTGGGGGTGAGGGTGATAAAAACTAGGAGAAGACTATTAGGGTGTGTGTAATGTTCAGTTTCTTAATCTGGGTGCTGCTATACGCAGTGTGTTCAGTATGTAGAAGTGCAGTGAGCTGCACCTTTATGGTTTGCATCCATTTAGCTACAAATGTCTCTAATTTCTTATTTTTATGACTGAGTAGTATTCCATTTAATAAAAAAAACCCCACATTTTCTTGGATCATCATTCTTACTCAAGTGCAATTTGCTGTAGTGTTTGGGAAGTGAATTTAGAGGGTGCTGACCCACTTGGGGAAATACGACTACCTTCCTGAGAGTCCATGTAAACTGAGAATCAAATGAGAACTCGTAATTTCCTCAGACTCTGTAGGACGAATCACCACCACCACCACCACCACCCTACAGAATTCAGGATGGACAACGTGTAAATTTAGAATGAAGCGAAATATCACGATTACCCCTAAACAGCGAAGAATAAAAAACTGCCTTTTTAAGTGAGATATTCAACAGGACCGGCATCCCATGAGGGCCATAATGTTCTTGTAGGTAATGAAAGCGCCTAAGAGGCTCAAATTGTCTCGGAAGATTAGTTTATAAAAAGTGGCACTAAGAACCAAACGGCCAAAAATTACCCCCAAAAGGAATGTCGTTTAGTGTTCATGTACCGTAGGACCTGTGTTTCGGCGCCGTGGGGCAGTCCCCAGATCCTTTGGATTGGCAAGGAAAAGTAATTGCCTGGGCAGCAAGGACCTAGCTGAGAGCCTGGGACGCCCCGGTGACGTGGCCGCAAGACCTCATCTGCCGCCTTCCCGCCCCTCGGCCCAGGTCCCAGGCTGGGAGGCGTGCGGGCGCGCGGCGATGGCGTCACCTTCCGCGCCGACGCCTTGGTTTCCCTAGCAACCGCGGCCCCGGCGCAGCAGCCAGGAAGATGCTAGCCAGGCGGCCTCGCGATCCCCTGCAGGTGGTGCGGCGCCGCAGCCAGGAGCTGAAGCTACAGGTAAGCTGGGCGTTGCCACGAGGAGCCCGGGCCTGAGAAGGGCGGGCTCTGCGGCGGGCGAGGGGACCCCGGGCTTTCAACTCCTCCCCGGGTAGTGAGCCCCCTCCCGTCTCCGGCCCTGACCCGGCTCTGACCCTGCCGCTTCCAGCCCAACCCCAGCCTCTGGCGAAGCCTCCCGAATCTCGTAACCTACCCCAGCACCCAAGCACCCAGCCTCGATCCCGACAGCTCCCCTCCCCTCCCAGTCTGAGCTCTCTCTCGGCGTCCTCCCCGCCGGCTCCCGCCCGCCCTCCGGCCCCTCTCCTTACTGCTTGCTGAACCTCAGGAGAAGTCAGGAATAGTCTCAGCATGTCAGAACATTACGATCCGATAGACTGAACTACACAGGAAACACAAGTAACTTGTAAACACGAGAGAGCAATTAATTTCCAAAGATAACCAAGTCACTGCAAAGGAGACAGAAAGATCACAAACATTTAAAAGTCGCAGTACTCAGTCCCGGGACGTTGACTAAACAGGCACTTCACATCCGCGGTCCCAGTGTATAAGGTGCAGCGTTTCTGGACAGCAGATTGATAGAATGCAGCAAATATTCAGTCTCCTGGGCTGGGTAATTACATTTACAAGAATCTACCGTATGAAATAATGAAAAATTGGGACAAAGATTGACGAAAAAAATATTCATCACATTACTGCTTATAGTAGAAAAAATACTGTCTCAAATGATCAGTAATAGAAGAATGGATAAATAACTTAGGGTGGGATAGAATAATACTGTGACTAAAATTTGTTAAAGAAATTTTAATGTGAAGGGAAAATATGATAAAATGGCAACTTAGAGATATAGAATGGAATATACAATATTTCAGTAACAGAAAAGATACAGAAAGGAAACATACTACAATGGTATCTGTGTGGTTAAATACTAACGGTTGTTGTTTTTCTTGCTTGTGTATATTTTCAGTGCACTAAATGCTTATTTTAAAAATAAGTAAATAAGTAATAAGAAAAGTATATAGTGGGCCGGGGATTTAGTTCAGTGGTTTCGTCGCCTGTTGTGCAAGCGCAAGGACCCGAGTTCGATCCCCGGTACCAAAAAAAAAAAAAGAAAAGTAAATAGTATTGGACTGTTCATTTATATTCTGAAATTTGTATTTCACTTTACTAATTGTATACTTTTTTAAAGTGTGATTCACCACATATTTTTCCACTAAGTAAAATTATTATATGTTCTTTGACAGATAAGAGATTTACTTATGTTCATATTTTATGCTGTTTTGGACTCTATTTAAAAGTTTAAAATTTAAATGTTTTCACACTTGCCTAGCATGTGTAAGACCTTAGTTTCCATCTCCAGCATTATGGGAAAGAAAGAAAAATTTAAACGTTTTCACCATAAAGAAGTAATAAATGTTTTAGGAGATAGATATGTTTAACATGATTTAAACATTACACAATGTATATATGTATTGAAATATCTTTGTTACCCCATAAATATAGTTATAATTTTTTTGATTTGTATCAGTTAAAAATAAATTAAATTGAACAATGTACAAAAGATTTGGCAGGTAAATTTTAGTGACTTTGGCAGCTAAAATTTAGTGAATTTTAGTGACTTTGAAATCATAGCCGCACAATGAAAAGAAAATACTCTTTTGGTAGAAATAAAAGTAAAATTTGATGGGGCACTGACTTTTGCTGAGTTTTGGTAGACTTAATATGATTCTTATCTAATTTTAAATTTAGTGGGACATTAGACGAACCAGGAAAAGTTTCAGAAGTAAACTATAAAAGTAATTATTAAAGCAAAAATAAAACAGACTATTACAAGGATTATTTAATGTGGATCAAATGGAATCAGGAGCATTTTAATACTTTGAGTATCTGGAAAGGACATTTTGATAATATTAGCTAATTCTTTACTATCTCCACAACAGACACTTGAAACTGAAAAAAAAAGAAAAAGAAAAATGGAATGCATTTCCAAGTGGACAAGGAATCCAATTCCTATTTGGGTCATGCCTATGATAACTGGTCCCATCACTGGGTGTGTGATTTTGTAAATAACACTCAGGTGGATGCCAAATAGGAAGCATAGAGAAAAAACTAGTGAAATTTTCTCTTTTCATCCACTATCTTTTCATATAATCTGTAGAAAAGAAACCAGAGAAGCGTGTGCTTCTTTTGTGATACATTGAGTGCTTGTAAAATATTAAGTCAAGATAAATAAAGTCATGGTACACTTGATACAGTAAATTCTACCTAGTAATTAGGAATAAACTAACATAGCAATATGGAAGTATCTCAGACACGTGGTATGGTGGAAAGATTTATGCAAAAATATATACTGTGTAAATCCATTTATATCAAAGTTCAAGAGCAGCCAAAGTTAATATAGTAGTAAAAGAACAGGTTTGTCTCTGAAAGAATGGGACAGGGATTTGCTGGGAGAGACAACAGGAACTTTCTAAGGTAATTTCCTATATCTTGATAGGGATTTGGGTTATATAAGTTATGCATTTGTCAAAGTGTGGCAAAGGTACACTTTAGATTTGTGCATCTGGTATGCAAATTTTATATCAAATATTGAACTCGAGTTAGTGACACTCCAAGTTCAGGGAGTGTTGTACTAATGACTGCAGATTACTTCGAAATGCGTAAAAAATAAGATGGATTAACGGGTGGACATATCAAATAGGCATAGTAAAATGTTAGTGGTAGAATCTAGTTATGGGTGGATGAATATTTGCTGTAAAATTCTTTCAACTTTATTATTTATTATGTTTAAAACTGTTCATTCTATACTGAAGAAAAAGAGAAAGTAAAAAAAAGAAAGAAAAAAGAGAAATAAAATTTTATTTCCTAAGGTGATATTTTAAACTGTTTCCCTTTCTCATAGGTTGATAGTTTGTTTTCTGAAAGCCAATTGAAAGGAGCTCTAGAACCCAATAAAAGGCAAGATATTTACCAAAGGTAAAGTATGCTAAATTATATGAGATTTCTAGGCACTGCACTTACATTTCAATGAGTAAGATTTAAGACACTGAAATCATTTCAAGCTTTCTTTTTTCTTGCTTTCCTTCCCTCCCTTTCTGTGATTTTGTTTTGTTTTTACTTTTTTTAACCCTAGAAGAGTTTAAAATTAAATAGACATTTTTATCCCCTAAATTAAATTAGACTATTAATACTTTTGAATCAAGTTTAGAACATCATTAAAGTAATCTGTGTCTTGGGGGTATTTAAAGTTTATAACATTCAAAAGAACATGAAATTCATTCTATTAGTTTAAATGATTTATTAGAATTATTTGGAAAAGTTTTACTTAAGTTAGCTACTCAAAACACCTAGAAGTAAAATAAAATATAAATCAATTTTTAAAATGTTAAATGGAGGGCCAGCGATTTAGCTTAGTTGTTCTGGCACCTGTCTTGCAAGCGCAATGTCCCAAGTTTGATCCCCAGTACCAAAAACAAAAAAAATGTTAAACGAAATTTAATTTACAATTATTAGTAGGATTGATTGTTTAAAGAAAATATGAAGGTGATTGTACCTGCTTTGCTAGATTTAAAATAGAATAATGTTTATAGGCTGAATTCAAAGTCCCTGGGGAAAGTAGGTTTTTAAATTTTATTTTAATAAGCTGTGTATAAAAAGATCCCCTCACAGTTATTTAGAAATTCATGTTGATTTTTGCAAAAAGACTGAAAATGTTCTTTTGTGTGTGTGTGTGTGTGTGTGTGTGTGTGTGTGTGTGTGTATCTGGGGATTGAACCCAGGGCCTTTGCACTGAACTACATCTCTACCCTTCTGAAATTTTTTTTTGAGACAAGGCCTTGCTATGACGCTAAATTGCCCAGGCTGGGCTTGAACTTCCTGTCCTGCCTCAGAGCGCTGGAATCACAAGTGTGTGCCACTGTGTCCAACTCCTGAAAATGTCATTTTGCCCTTAGGTTTTATTAGTAGTTAGCAGGACGTAGAATTAAAAATAATATCTACTTAAACCTTTGAAGATATTCAGTTTTCTTTGCATGCAGTGGTACAGATAAGTCTGAGTATCATTCTCTGATAATTGGCTGTTTGAGATTTTTTTCTTCAGCTTTGGTGTTCTGGAATTTCCTCATGGTACAGTTCTGTGTCATTTTTATCCTCTCAGCATTCATTTGGGTATTTTCAGTCTGAAAATTCATGTCTTTTATGAGCTCTAGGAGTTTTTATTTCACTGAAAATCATTTCTTTACTTCCATTTGTCCATTTCTTCCTGAAACACCTTTGAGTCAGGTGTGAGTATCATGGGCAGGTCCTCAGCTCTCTTCTCTTGGTAGTTTTTGCTTCTGTGTCTTTTTCATTTACACCTGGAAGATTCTCTTGACTTCTTGTAAATTTTCGGTGGATGTTTTATTTCAGCCATGAATTGTTAACTTAGTAGTTTTTTCTTCTCTTAAATTGTTCTTTTTCTGTAGCATCATGTTCCTGTTTTCAGATAATCACCCCCCTTCTCACTTCCACAATTAGGAGGTTTGCTTTTAAATTCTCTGTTATCTGAATCATCTTTGCTTCCTCTGGGCTCAAACGCTTACTTGTCTATTTTTGGCTAGTCTTTTTTAATGAGAAAGGGTCTTGCTTTGTAGTTCAGGCTGGCCTTGAATTCACTATGTAGCCCAGTCTGGTTTCGAACTTGCAGCGATCCTCCTGCCTTAGCCACCCAAGTCCTGGGATTACAGGCCTGCCCCACCACACCCAGTTGATCTTAAATTTTATCCTTATGTTCCTAGTTTTTTTTTTATTATGTGTGGTGGTCCTTGGCTACTCATTTTATTTAAGAATGAGGGGGTCGATTCTAGTGAGCTCTCTTGGGTTCTTATAGGGTTGATCTGTGGCATCTTTCCTATTAGCGCTGTCTCCTGAAGGGGAATGAAGTTCTTTGCACATGGGCAGGGCTTCTCATTGGCTGGGAACCAGCCTTTAGTCTGAGGAGCCCCCAATGCCAGAAGAGGGTGGGCTTTAACCTGGTGTGCAAGATACTTCTTTAGCAACTGTGGTTCTCTCAGGTCACTCATCATCATCATCATCATCATCATCATCATCATCATCATCATCATTTAGAGAATAATTGGTATAAAAGGAGAACAGAAAGGGGTGAAGTAATAGAAAAGGAGCTCACAGGCTCAGGATTTCTGTAAACAGACTTTTGAGAAAGTCACTAGACTTATTACAGAAGAACCTTTACTAAATCTGAGTGTATCAGTATCTTTACTCTTCCCTGAGTGAGATAAAGGTTTTAGATTGTTTCAGACTGATTTCCCATCTCCAAAGCTTAAATTTATGGACATGATTTAATTTATACAAGAGAATTTACACCTGTGTGTATATCTGTATATAATACCTGATTACTATAAATAGCAAAGCCCAGCCATCATGCACATCTTTTCATCTGTAGAACTTCTTGATGTGTCAACCTAGACAGATACACCTCCTGTCTGCTGACCCAAATCCTGGGCTTTTCTGCAGGGCAGCTTATGTCCCCATTGTGCCTGTGAGGCTGCTTCCTCTATCATAGAAGAACATGCCTCCAGCCTTTTTTCACACTGGGGAAATCTGTCCACACCCCTTGTTGGCTTGTGGTCCTTCTTCCATTCTTTGCACTATGTGGGGTTATTACCTTTGAAAATGTTCTTATCCTTTTCTGTGGGGTTTCAGGAGGAGTGAAGATATGTGTGTGCATAGATCGTGTGTGAACCAGGAGTCTTAACTATCTGAGCTGTGTATGATTTAATAATTTTACAGCCATGAAGAAGATCATTATAATTATTTGGTGGTTTTTGAGTGTATTATATAAAACTCGTTTTCCACTCTGGCTCCTTAGTGAAATTTCTGAGTCTCTGTTTCACTAAAGATTCTTTTGGTCAAGTAATAGGACAGCTGTCAAAATAAGCAGCTTTTATTGTGAATCTTGTTTGACAAGAAGTCCGCAGTCCCCCGTGGTGCATCCATGGCTTGTGACATCCTCAAAGGCCAGCTGTGGTGCCACCCATTCTGCCATCCTGAGGTTGTTCATGATGCTCCTCACAGTGACAAAGCCCATTAACAGCAGCAAGGGGAAGGCTCTATTCACACCTCAGAAGGGAGGACACACGGGAGGCACCCCTCACCCACTTTGCTGCTTTTATGATTCCTTGGCCACCCAGGACCCAGGTCCAGCCTCCTACTTTGGAGGCTGAGGATGTAGATTTTATGGGGAGCAGAGACCAGCAAAGAGGAGGGGTAGGAGAAGATGACAGCAGGATCAGCCATTACTTGATGTTCCCACTTCTCTTTTTCTGCCCCTTTCACACAGGATTTTTGACCCATTTCCCCTTTTACCCTACTCCATTTCATTTCACTTACATCTGTAAGAAAAAATAAAACTCAAATAACATAAGAAATGATTGCAGAAAAGAATATATATATGTGGCTCCAAATACTGAAAAAGTATTTGATCCTTTAAAGACTCATCATAAGTTGTAGCCCATTTGGGGTCATTTTTACATGTCTTCTTTGGGATCTAAGATTTACACTAAATTCTATGAGCTGTCTTAACTGTGCCTATATGGACAAGCCAAGTTCAAAAGGAAGAGTATGGCATGGCATGGTGGGGACAGGTCAGCTGCAGAATCCTTCACTGACTCTGCCACTGACTAAACATATGACTCTTTTTTTCTCTCTTTTCTTTTTGGCTTAGAATCCAGGGTCTTCACACTGAGCTACAGACCCATCTTTGTATTTTTTGGGGGGGACAGGTCTCTCTAAGTTGCCCAGGTTGTGCTTGAACTTGCAGTATTCCTGCCTCAACCTCCCAGAGTGCTAGGATTACAGGCGTGTGCCACTGTGCCTGGCCCACGTGAGTCTCTTTAGAAACTGACTCTCTGTTTGGAGTGAGGGTTAAGAGGCTGAAATGAGGCTGTTCGTAAATGGTCTGATACACAGTTAGTAACCATGTTACTTGTGTCTCTGTGGCTCCATCCTCAGTCTATGGAATTGTCATGATGCACAAGCATGTAAAATACCGTGTTCTTCCTGAAGTCACAGAAGCTTTCTGAGCCTTGGTTATCCTGTCTGAGCACCTTAGAGCTTGGCTATAGAGCAGTGGTGGCGATCTATGGCACACATGCCACAGTGGGCATGCAGTGCCCTCTCTGTCAGCACAGGAGCCTCACTGCCCCAGCAGCTGAGCATCAGATATTCGGGTTTAATTGCAGCATTGGCACTTTGTAATAAATAAGTGGGTTTTGGGTTGCAGTTTGGACATTTGGTCTCTAAAAGGTTCACCATCACTGCTATAAAGGATCATCAAAGCTAATGGGTAGAAAAGCAGTCACATGTGAATTTTTAAACATTATTCATGCAATAGCTAATTGCCTTGCCTGCCTAGAGTCTGTGAATAATTTTATAAAATAGCTTTCTGGTTCTGACAATAGTAAACCATGTGTTTTCTTTCTTTTTAAAAATTTAGATGTATTCAGTTAAAACAGGCAATAGATGAAAATAAAAGCACTCTTCAGAAATTAAAGAAGGTAAGTGTTACACTACAGAAAAATTTCTTATTCAGATATTTTTACTAAGTGAGAATGAAGTGAAGTTGGTGAGTCCCTAGTTTTGCATTAGGGACCTGCAGAGCTATCCGACAGGTTACTACGTGCCTGCTGTAGGGCAGAAATGCCAGAACTTGGGATACTGAAAAATAAACCCAGCTTTGATGAGCTTGCCCAGCACTGAGGACTCAGAAAGCCCGAAGAAGCTAATTTTAAAAATTGTAGTACTTTGTAAGGTATGGGGGCTACCGACTAGAACTGTTTCTATTTTAACCCCATCATGGGGAGAGAACACACACTCCGATTTTGAGGTAAGTGGTGACAAAGTCCCTGTGTCACATGGCAGCAGCTCTGGTGTCAGTGACCCTGCAGAGATGGGAATGAGAATCTGCCCTTGGTGATCCCTTCAGGATCCTTTGTGTTTGAGCCTGAGCTTCAACCAGGTGCCTAGGCCTGGAGACTCACAGAGACTTAAGGTGGAAGGTGCCCGAAGTCATCTCCCTGACCGCATCTGAATCCTCATTGCATCTGGGCTTTTCTGAATTTCTCCAAGGACACAAAATTTTCAACGTAGGAGGCAGATGGACCCCAACTTTGAAGACTTAATTATTCTTGTTTCACAGATGAGAAAATAGGCTCTGCTGAGTGAACAAGACAGATCTCCCTTCAGTAAGTGGCAGAACTTGGGACTGGCCCTGTCATTCTGGCTCTAGAGCCAGTCTTCCATCACAGCTTATCCCTTACTAACCAGGGAGCATCTGTGATCCTTAGCACAAAAAGAAAGAAAAGCCAGAAACAAGTGGTGTCATTGTAGTTTTCATTAAGTTTGCATTCCAGCTGCATGAACCATATTTCTTTAACTCACTTATTTCTGTAAGGTAAAGGTCATCTCACAGTGATATTTATTTTGCTTTATAGCACTTAATGGAGTTTTTTGTTTTATTCTTTTAAAATAAATATGATTAGGGAAATGGAATTAATTTTTCAGTGAACTAGATCCGTGTTCTCCCGTAGGCTGATGAAGCTGCACCTGTCGGGAACTACGATCAGAGGAAAGAAGAGGAGCAGGCCCTCCTGGACAAGCTTACCCACCAACTGCAAGAACTCACTGTGGACATAAGTAAAGAAAATATGACTAAGTATGCCTCTTTCCTCCTTCCTTTAGATTATTTCTTTTTTAATTTTTTCAGTTCTATCGATTGAATCCAGGGCCTTTGCACTGAGCTACATCCCCAAACTTTTTTTAAAAATTTTATTTTCTATTTTGAGACAAGATTTCATTAAGTTGCCCAGTCTTGGCTCAAACTTGTGATCCTCCTGCCTCAGCCTCCAAGAGTGCCAGAATTATAGGTGTGCACCACCATGCCCTGCACTACCAGTCTTTATATTTGATTCAGAATAAAGACATACAACAGTATAGAAACAAAAAATGACAGCAACAGTATAACCAGTCCGCATTTATTTATTATGTGTAATGAATGCATTAGAGCCCAAGAGAGTTATAAAGAAGTATAAATTGTAGTCTCTGCCCTCATATTATTCGTAATCTAGTTAGGGAAACAAAACAGATCTGAAAAGAATGATGTTTTTAATGTCACTATTGATGTGCAAGAGGTAGAATGGTTTGGACTGTTTATGTAATCCTTCTTTGATAAATGTTCTTTAAAAATTTGAAGAAAAAAGTAAAGAAAAAGAAAAATTTGAACCAGAAATATACATTGTTTTTCTGCTAGAAAGATTAATAATAATAGATTTTGCAAATTACAAAGACTTTTATGTATAAAAAACTCAATTTCTAGGGAGCCAAAAAAATCAACTACTGTTCAGACTCTCTAAATGCGATTCCCCAACTTTTTACACTGTACCCTGGAAAAAACATTAACAGAGGTAGATGCAGGGATTCTAGGATTTCCACTGACTCCCAGGTGGAGAATGACAGAAGAGCTGATACTGTATTGACTTCCCACCACAAACAGCAATGAAGTCGGGGCAGAATAACACAGCAGCCATCTGCAGGCACCACTCATAGAGCGAGCAGGGTGGATCCCGACATGGGGAGAGACTGAGTCCTGCCCACCCAGGCCTTCTCCCTGGGTAAGGGACAGACTGTGATATCGGAAGGCGGATCCCAAGCAGGGAACAAGCAGTCTCACTGGACTGGGGAGCTGAGGCCCCTGTGATCACAGAGCCAGGCACTGTAGACAGAAGGGAATCAGAGAGAAACAGCTCCAGAGTCTTCCACAGATTCAGCTCCCCATGGTGAATTATTACAAGTATTCAAGAAAGAAATAATACCACATTACAAAATATTCTTAGAGAATAGAAAAAGAATCCAAATTGCTTTATGAGCAATTAGATAACATTGATTTCAAATCCTGACAGAAAGCACTGTAAGAAAATCCCAAGACCCTCAGGAACCAGAGGCCCACTCTCAGTAGGAAGAATTAGCAGATCGAATGCGAGGCAGATCAAAAGGATGATACATCGTGACCAAGTAGATTTATTCCAGAATGTATGGTTGTTTTCACATGAAGGAATTGATGATTAAATTCACATCAACATTAATGGAGGTGAAAAACCATGCCAAGTTCCCATTATCCTTGGCAACATTTCAGAGTAGTTGACCCATGTAAAATATGTGCAGAATCTCTTAAAGAAAGGGTTATATTGAAAATCAATATGTCATAGTTTATAGATTTTTATTCTTATGGTATAAAAATTGTTTTCTGTTCAGTCTTTGTTTCTGTTTAGGTGAGTATTGTATGAGAGTCCTACACCTATTTTAAACAAAGATATTCTAGAACAGTGTGTATGTGACACCTTGGATGCCCAGTAAGCATTTAGTTACTTTGCTGAATATTGAATGAACACATAAAGGTCAGAGATACTAAGTGACTTTTCCAAGTTATTGTGTATTACTTTGGTTCCTCTCTTTCTCATCTTCTACATCCTGTTTTCTTCATTCCTAAATGCTGTTTTCTTTGTTCATACTGTTGTCATTTCTCTCTTTCAACAGCCACCTCACCTTGGGCCCTTCTTCCAGTCTCTTCCCACATTGGAGGCAGGTCTCATTTCTGAAGTGAAAACCATACGCTTTCCCTCCTGCACTGTAGAAACTGCTTACCTTGAAGATAAGTCGCACAGGGAATCCACTCTCCCTACCTCTTCTCGGCCTTATCTAGGGCTACCATTTGTGTGCTACTTAACATTTTCTGGTCTTGAGCTTCCTTTCTCCTCTCCCTCTGTCTTCTTTCTACTCTTTTTGCCTAATTCCAACTCATCCTGAAGACCTAATTCTGAGCCTTTTCTGATCCCCTGTGCAGCCTGATTGGATGTTTCTCTTGTCTGATTCCTTAGCATCCTGGGCATGCCTCTACTGTAGTACCTGTTGAGCAGTAGTAAAATTACCTGTTTCCTAGACTTTCTCAACATAAGCTCCTTTAGCATGGGTCCACCTATGTATCCCTCATGTCTTACATGGAACCTGACCTGCAGCATCATTATCAGCATAACCGACTTGGATGGAAAGCTTATTGTGGGCAGGCATTGTTCTTTTGTGGGGTTTTTTTGGGTTTGTTTGTTTGTTTTGGTTTTGGTACCGGGGATCAGCAGAACCACTGAGCTAAATCCCCAGCCCTGGGCAGGCATTGTTCTTAACCTTTTGCAGGTTTTAACTTGTCTAATTCTTGTGACCACCTCAGGAAACAGGATCTATTATCATCTTGACTTTAACAATGAGAAATGAAAAGCTTATAGAAACCTACCAAGCTCATCCAAGGAAAAGGAGATAGAACCAGAATTTAAACCCACTACGTGTGTGATAAGCCCTGTAATGTTGTGCAAGGAGCATTTGCTGAATGGACAATTCCAGGATTGGAATCGTGTGCTTCCTGGCTTCAAGTCTGATTCATGTTGTGCCATCTCACATGCCTTATTCAGATACAGTCCTACCCTCGGTCCTTCATGGCACACCTGCTCAGCTAGATAGTGGAAACCATTAGTTATACTTCCCCCTTATTTCTTTTATTTTCCATCTCTAAATATGGAGCAATTCTTTTACATACAGGAATTCTGCTCATATTCGGTCTGTTCTCGTATGTTGTTTCAAGTGGTCCTATTCATAGAAATGCTTTTTGTAGGACAGGTGCACCTACTGAAAAAGAGGAAGATAGTGATTCTACTAAAGAACAAGATGATGATGGCGATGACGATGACGACGACGACGAAGAAGAAGAAAACAGTGAAGAAAGTGCTGGAGAGGAAGAAGAATCTGAAGAGGAGGAAGAGCAACAGGAAGATGAATCTCTCAAACAAGCAGCAAATAAAGAATACATTGCTCTTGGAGATTTTACTGCTCAGGAAGCTGGGGATCTTACATTTAAGGTGAATAGAAGAAGCCTGAAACTTAACCTAAGGGTAGCTGTGCACACTTAGCAGACTAAGAAAACTCTACCTATACACCTGTAATGGGGGTAGGGGGGAAGAGACAGGGTCTCACTACATGGTTTAAGCTGGCCTTGAACTTACTGTGTAGCCCAGGCTGGCCTCGAACTCATGGTGATCATGCTCCACCATGCCCAGCTTTGTACATCTGTATTACATATTACTGATTTTAAGATTTTTAAGACTCAGTCTGTTTAAGTAAGTAATAATTATCATTTATAAGCAGTAGCAATGTGAGTTTCTGTCGTTAAAGTTAACCTCTTCTAAAGTGTTTCAAAAATAGTTTTAGTGTTGATAATTCTCAATGAGGGGCAGAACTTTATAATTTATTTTTGATTGTCGTAGGTATGGAGGTATTCAGCTGAGACAGGCAGTGTGCTTAGCTAGAGGTAGCAGGGCGCCTCTGTTGTGCTGTTAAGCGGCACCTCTTCCTGTTGACTCAGATAGGTAAGGGAGCTGCATCTATGGTTGCTTGGCCTGTGCACATATAAATGGGAAGTGGGATGGAAAAATAAGATTGTGGTTTTTAAAGAGGTTGGAAAATGGGTGTGGTGGTGCCACATGTGTAATTCCAGCACTCTGGAGGCTGAGATTGGAGGATTGCAAGTTCAAGCCCAGCCTGGGCTGCATAGCGAGACCCTATCTCAGAAAAACAAAAATAAAAAGGATGATAGGGGGGTTGAGACTGTTTCCTGCTAGCAAAATGAGCCAAAGAACTGTTAATGAATATATGAACTGTGGTCCTTATGTTTATTTACCTGAACATTTAATAACGGACTATTAATAAGATATGCAAGAATATTGTACAACTAATACATTTTAATAGAATTCTATGATTTAATAAAATCATAAGATTTTATTTTCAAATTCTCCCAGAAAATGCCATTAACATTAGACAATAATGTATATTCTAAGAAAGGCTTTACTTTTGAATGTCCCCAGTAGTAGAAATTCTTTGTTTTTCTAATTTGAATTATACTTTTATACATGGACAAGTATTATTCAAAACATGAATTAAGTGGATAGATATACTGGGAAAATACTATTTTTTGCTTCAAAATAGGATTTAATTTTTAACACAATTGATTTCTTCAGGGATTTACATGGTGCTTCTGCAAGATACTTTACAAAGAGATTCACAAATTCAAAGATATTTTATACAGTAATCCAATTGCTGGATTGTGGCCTTGAAAATGATTTCACATATGATTCAAATGTGTGTTAAGCAACGTTGTGGAATGATTTATTTATACTTATATTTATAGTCATGTAGGTTTAGGGTAAGGTGGTAGGGAAGCTTTTGATAAAAATTAGGATAAGCGGGACCGGGGATTTAGCTCAGTGGTTTTGCCGCCTGCTGCGCAAGCACAAGGACCCGAGTTCAATCCCTGGTACCTAAAAAAAAAAAAAAAAATTAGGATAAGCTTGGGCCAGAGATTCCGGCCACCTGCCTCACAAGGGCAAGGACCTGAGTTCAATCCCTGGTACCAAAAAAATTAGGATAACCAGTGGATTAGAAAAATACCTTTTTTTCCAACATACATTTTGAAGCATTACTAATGAAGTAATACTCATGTCTATTGAGTTTTCTTTTTAAATTTTATTTTGTTTTGCCTTAAGAAAGGGGAAATTCTCCTTATAATTGAAAAAAAGCCTGATGGTTGGTGGATAGCTAAGAATGCCAAAGGAAATGAAGGTCTTATTCCCAAAACCTACGTGGAGGTGAGTCTTTGTTGTGTATCCTTTCCTTTCTCCTTCAGTTATTTGCATTTTTAATAAAACATTAAGGTATATTCTTTGCTCAGTTGATTAGTGAATGAGCTAAGAGATGCAGAATTGCTTTAATTTTAGAGATAGAGTGTGGAAAACTGGCTATGTATTGATGGGTTTGGGCACTGTGAAATGCTCTTATGCACATGAGCCCTGGAACATTTTCACAATGAAGCTTTATGAGTTAATGCTGTTCATAACAAGACATTTATTATTACTGTAAAACATAGCCAGTTAACTTTGTGTTAACTTCCAGCTGTATCATACTCTTACTCAAATGTGAACATAGGGTGCAAGCACATTTGTAGCCTATTTCTTATTATTTCCTAATGTAGCACAATCAGTTTCTGTGCCAAGTAATATAAACATCTGTCTGGGTTAGTGCTGTCCAGGAGAATTCAAATGCCCACCACTACGGAATTTTAAGTCTTCCAGTAACCACATTGAGGGGTCTTTTTTTCTTGATACCACCTCTGACAACAAGTGTGAGATTTTCTCTAACACCAAAGATATATGTCATTTTCCACATCAGTTTCTCCACCAACCAGGTGCCCAGCAGTTCAGCTGGGTTCTGACCCTGGCTCCTGGAGCACAGACCCCACAGGTGAGGACTCAGTCCTGCCAGACTGCACCACATTCAGGTGCCAGTCCTATACCTCAGAAGCCACCAGTCCTTTTGACTGTCTGTAAATTCAGGAGTCACCTCCACCTTTCTGCTGGGGTCTGAAATTCACTATGGTGATTCGCAGAACTCAGGAAAACACTTTACAGTTTGTCCTCTGTATCCAAGAATTTTGTATCTGTATATTCAACCAACATATCAGAAATATTTGAGGAAATAAATTGCATCTGTACTGAACATGTACAAACTTTTTTCTTATCATTATTCCCTACACCATACAGTATAACAATCATTTACCTAACATTTGCATGATGTTAGGTATTATAAGTAATTAGAGATGATTCAGAGTATACAGGAAAGTGGGTACTGGTCATGTGCAAATACTGGACCTTTTTTTTTGGTACTGGGGATTGAACCCGGGACTTTGCACTTGTGAGGCAGGCGGTGGCGCCACTGAGCTAAATCCCCAGCCCTCTGGACCATTTTATAGAAGAGACCTGAGCACCCTTGAGTTTTGGTTTTCACAGGGGTCCTGGAACTGATCTCGAGGGAAAATTGCACTTGCGTTTGCCAGCTTATCATACAGGATCCAACTCACATACAGCTCAACCGAAAAGATGCATGGGGCAAGGTATTTGGCTGGGTTGGTTTGCATGCCGTCTGTGGGCCTGGCCCCCTCCCAGCATCTTGATGTGTTCACCAGCCTGGAAGATCTCCAAGCCGTTTCATGTAGGAGTTTTAATTTAGTTTAATTTATTTCAATTAATTGCATTGGTTAAACCACTGACTATTGGTGCTCAACTCAATCTCTAGTTCCTCTCTCTTCCCTAAAGGTTGGAGTGCAGGGCTGAAAGTTTCAATGTCTTCTAATTCCATGGCTGGGTCCTCTGGCAACCAGCCCTCTCCCTGAAACTGTCTGCAGACCAACTAGAGTTGCCTGTTAGCATAACCACTGGAATGGTTGCAAGGGACCCCTGATGGATAAGAAAACACCCTGTCATTCAGGAAATTCCACGGTTTGTGTCTTCCAGGAACAGAGACCAAATCTCTATTTCTCAGTACCCACATTAAAAAAGCAAAATTAAATAAGTGGAATTGTTCTTAATAATATATTTTATATTATCCAATATATCAGAAATATTTCATTATACAATCAATGTTTAAAGTATTGAGCTATTTACTTTTTATATTAAGTTCAAAGGCCCGTATGGGGTTTATATTTACAGTACATCTCAATCTGGACTAAAATGAATGACTCAGTAGCCACATGCAGTAAAGGGCTGCTGGACGCACAGGACAGGTCTGGATCAGGTTTTGAGAGGCAGCAGGTATTCTGGTCTCACTTAGGTCGTTTCCAACCGGTAATCATTGCAGAGAAGCTACAATTAGCTTCCAGCCCATTTCTCTCAAGAGTGGAAGAAGTGTGAAGACAGACAATTAAGCACTGGTTAAGGCCCTCTCTGATCTTTAATCTGTAGCTACATGTGAGGCAGCTCTTTTTGTTAAGTCCACTGCTGGATCTTTTAAAGATTCTAAGCACCAAAAGGGAAAAAGGGAATGTATGAACTGTTACCCCCGTAAGAAGGTTTCCTAGAAGCTACACAAAAAACTTCCAATTACTGACCAGCATCTGGTTGTGTGGCAACACCTGGCTGCCTGGAAGGCTTGCTGAAGTCAGGGATTCTGCTGGAGAGGAAGGGGTGGAGACTAGACCTTGGCCAACCAGCAGCCTCTGCTTTGATCAGTCTGCACATATATCTGGCAGACTTACTTAATTATTCCTCTTACATAAATCCCTGATGTTTGTCACTGCCTCAAAGGGTTTACACCTTTATATCTTGATTTATTTTACCAATTTGTACTCCCCCCTCCAACATTTGTTTCCCCATACATGTGCCAGTGCTAGCTCTAATTAATCTTCTTAATTTTTTGCCTGTGTGATTGGCAAATCACAATCTCATTGTTTTTAAGTGCATTCATTATACTAATGAGGTTGAGCATCATTTCATATGTTGTGTGACCATTTATATTTCTTCTTTGTGAATTGCCTTTTTGGATCTTTTGGCCTTTTTTCTAGGGGATTTTTAGAAATCTTTTTTCTCACTGATTTATAAGGGTGTCTGTAATATTTTAATAATAGAAATATTAACCCTTAGAAATTTGTGTTAAATGTTTTCTTTGTTGACTTTCAGCTACATGGTTTTTTTTTATTAACTAAATCTGTCAGTGTTTCCATTTATGATTTGGGTTTTGGTATCATAATTGGAAAAGGTTTCCTCATCCCAAGAGTATCTTCTAACACTTTTATATTTCTTTGATTTTGATATTAATTTTTTCATTTAGATAAATTCCATCTGGATTTATTTTGGTTAAAACTGTCTGCCTCAATCTTTGCCATTTTTCTTTGACATTTTTTATGTTAAATACTTTTTCCCTATCATAGTCTAAATTCCCTTCTATGCTTTCTATGATTTGTGAAAGTACTAGGATTTTCATTGATTGATTGATTTTTTTTTTCGGTACTGGGTATCAAACTCAGGACCTTTAGCTTACGAGGCAGGCACAGTGCCACTGAGCTACATCCCTGGCCCTTATTGATTGATTTTTACATTCATTGAAAAGTACTTTATATTTCAATGATTTTCCAGCCCTATAATAAAGAAAAAGAAGACCAAGAATCAAGTGAAGAAGACAGTGAAGAAGATGTGGATGTGGGAGATGAAGCAGCAGACAGAAGTGAAGTGAAGCAAAGGTATGGGGTGGGAGAAGACATCAGAGCAGCTTTGGGAAACTTTTTACAAGACTTCCCTTCAGTCTTTCTTTTTTTGGTGCTGGAGTTGACCCCAGGGCTTCATACATACTAGGCAAGTGCTCTTACTACTGAGCTAAATCCCTTCAAAACTTTCTGGAAATGGAGACAACTTATACGTAAGAGCTTTTCATGTTATTGTTTGCTTAACAATCACTACTACTTTAATTTTGCAGTATATTTTAGTGCACTTAGCCTACCTTGGTTTCAGCTAGACACTGTTCAGTTATCAGAACTTCCTGACGATGATGAACTCTGTTCTTTGACTGATGCACTTCCCTAAGTGAATGAATCACATAATCTGTCACTTGCTATTTTGTCTCCCCAGAACTGATTCCCGTTGGAATGCTGTTCGAAAAGCTATCTCAGAGGTTGGTATCTCCTGCCTTATTGATGATGTCTCATATTTCACCTCTTATTATCTGTTTGACAAGTGAGATATATTTGGTCCCTTGTTTTTGTATCATTATGAAGTAGCTCTGATTGCATTCAGATTCAAAATTAGAAAGAAAGCATAGGTCCTACATAGTGTTCAAGGTGTGGGATGGACGTAAGGAATAAGCACATATTTCTGATTCAGTAAATCTGTGCTCCAAGTAATGTTTCTCATTAGGTCTTCTGTTAAAAAAAAGAATAAATAATCTGATTCATGGTATGATTTGAGGGCTTAGAATTATTCTCATTGATCCTACCAGAATTTTCTGTCATTTTATTGAAGAATACATTTCATTTACTGACAAACTCAGAAAAGTAAGAAATTAACTATAATTCTACCACTTAAAAATTATAGAACAAAATTAAAATCCTCCTTCAATCACTATTAGTAGTTTAGTAGGTATTCTTCCTGATGTTTCACTCCATGTTTTCCTTATAAGGACATTCTCGTGTGTGTGTGTGTGTGTGTGTGTGTGTTCACATACACAAAACTCCCTTAATTCTTCAGTGTGTGTCAGTCACAATGTTCACTCCTCTGTTAGATGGCTGTGCATGGTGGAGCGGAACAGCTGGGTCTGTTTTGGTCAAGGATGCATTGAAGCATTTGGTCTAGAATAGAGCTCTGCTCTGGAGCACTGCCTGGGTCTGAGGTCCTCAGGAAGGGCAAGATTCAGGGATGAGTCTTGCTTTCAGGAATTGGGGATCACATTGTACTGTTTTCCCCCTAAAGTCTATAAGTATTTGTATTATAGAGGTAAGGAAACATGAATGAGAGCAAGCAGATTCATTTTGTTTCCACTCTCTTCAGCAGATAAACACTGTCGACGTGCTGACCACAATGGGGGCCATTCCTGCGGGCTTCCGGCCCTCCACGCTCTCCCAGCTGCTGGAGGAAGGTAACATGGGTCAGGCAGCATGCACACCTGGGGTCAAGCAGTCAGGGTTGGAGTCTCATCTTTCTGTCATAGCCAAAATAAGCTGAGGAAGATGTTGAATCTCACCTCTCACTGGTTCTCATCTTTTCCTCTCCTCCCTGTGAAGGCAAAGACCCCTCCCTGATCCTATCAGAGGCCAGTCTGATTATCTGTGCTCTGGGTCCCTGCCTCTTTCTTTTTTTCAGAAACAAGACTCCTTTAATTATCAGCCCTTCCAGTGTCTTTAGCCTGTACCTCCCTTACTGCCTCCTGCTGACTCATTACCCCATTGGTACTCCCTGCACACCTCACATGGCCTCCTTTAAAAACCAGCCTTGCCCCATTCTGCCAAAGACTCCCTTTATCTGCTCCTCTTTGCAGTGAGACTTTTCTGGATTTCTCTCCATTTCTGATTCAGTCTTGGATTCCCAGTAATTGGCAACTCTTGGCTATAAGCTCCTTTCAGAGGGGAATCTTGGGGGCCAAGGCATCTGCTGTTTACCTGACTGTTTAGTTATCCATGAAGGGCTGCATTGAGGTTACCTCTGCTAAAAAGGTTCTTCTTGATCCTCCCTAAAATGCCCAGCCCAGCCTTCCAGACTCAGGGTAGCTCCCACCTTACAAGGGGGAAGGAGCCACCACAATGTCAGTCCCCCTACTTCCTTCCACTTGGGCACCCTCCTCTTCACTCTGCAGTTAGCTAATGAGGGCAGAGGACACATCTGTCTCATTCACCGTTCTATTTCCAGCTCCTAGCATACCACTTGGCAGAGCAGGGACTCTAAAATTATTTGTTGAATGAATAAATGATTTTATAGGAAGTATTCTTCACAACTGAACTATGGAAAAAAAGGCTAAAAATGCTTTTGTGTTAAGTGGAACTAGCGATTATATATATTTTTCCCAAAATCTACAAAATGCTTACAGGTTTCTGCAATTTACAAAAATATTTGAATGAATCATCTTCATCATGAGGCATATTATTGACCTAAAATTCTATAAGACCTTTCTTTAAGCTACTTTAAGATAATCTTTTATCTATTTATTTTTTTAAATTTTGTATTGTTTTAATAAGTCTGGATTGAACATCTGTCAGAAAGCAGGTTCCTAATAAGCAGTTTGGCATTTTGGAAGTAATATGGATGTTGGGTTTTAAATTTTATTCCTCTTTTTGCAAGAAAATAAAGGAAAGAATGATTTTTACAGGGAATCAATTTCGAGCAAGTTACTTCCTACAGCCAGAGCTCACGGCATCGCAGCTGGCCTTCCGAGACCTAGTGTGGGATGCCAAGTCGAGCACTGTGAGTATAGTTACGATCAGTACAGGTACAACTTTTCCAGGTTTCATCCTGGTGGAAGTATATAAAATTTAAATTGATGCGCTATAGAAAACAGAATTATTTCTAGGTTGGATTTTTTTTTTTTTTTTTTTTGCAGTTCCTGGGATCAAACTCAGAACCTTGCACTTGCAAGGCAGGCGCATTGCCCTGAGCTAAATCCCCGGCCCATAGGTTGGAATTTTTAAAAGTGATGTTTTTGTAGGTGAGGCAAAACTTGGACTTGGCACCTTGACTTTGTCTTGTTTCTCTGCTCTATTGCTCTCTTTCTCTCACTGTTATAGAGGAAATGATGCTGGATTTTTATCTTAATCATTCTTTACATGTTTCTTCATCTGTAAAAAAGGGGATAACAATACTTCCAATGTAGAGTTCCCCTGAGAATTATTTTCTATGTAAAGGCTTAGAACCGTGCCTGATGTATGGTAAGTAAATGTTGGTGAGTGCTGTGGTTTGGAAAAGTGTCCCTATTGTCCCCTGGGTGTTACTAGCCTGTGATCAGGGCCTAGCGGGAAGACGTAGGTCACAGGGGCATGCTGTTGAGGGCATATCAAGACCCCAGCCCCTTCCTCTCTCCCTTTTGCTTCCTGGCCACCTTGATGCACTGCCTCAGTGCAGTACCTGGGAGCAGTGGGGCCAACTGACCATGGACACAAACCGGGAGCCAAAACAGACATGTCCTGTTCTTTAAAGTGATGGTTTTGGATACTTGTTACAGCAACCGAAAGCTGATGAACACAGGTGTCATTATCAGTAGTACGTCACAATACTATGTTAATTAAATAGGAAGAAGGAAACAGCAGAATGTTATGATTATACTTTTTAGGGTAGGACTCAAAGTGAAGGATTGTTGCTATTTCAGTATTTGAAGTAGAAAATACTCTTAATATTTTATTAGAACACATCGCTGCCCTCCCATTTACCTTCTCCTTTGTCTCCCTTCCTTTCCTGAAGTCTAAGGGAGGAGTAAGAGGACCAAGTGATCAGGTTGGTGGGGTCAGGTGCTGCAGGACCTCAGCATCCCTTTTCCTCCCAACCTGAGCAGGACCTGGAACCTTCTTAGCATTAAGTATCTTGTTTTCTAAGTCAACAAAGATGTTATATATGGTCTGTTTAATGTACATTTAATTTTATAAATTTATGCCCAGAAAACTAAATATTCAGCTTTTCTTAAAAAGGTGACAACCCATTAGGTGCTGTCTTATTATTTGCAACAATAAATTTATTTATAATTATAAAGTTTAACTATTTGAGGGTGTTCTTAAAAAGTAAAAAGCCAGAATGCCAATTTATTTATTCATAATCTGACCTCTTGTCTGTGAAATAGATCTGAATAATCTCATCAATTAGTCAGTACATTCTCTGTCAAGAGATCCAGGTAGGAAATCAAAGAACAAGGTAGATAATTGCTTGGAATTTTAAAAAAGAAGCATTTAGCTGGGGAATATTGATGCCAGGTTTCTTGATTGCTGTGCCATGGTAAGCACCTACACTTACACGAATTCTGTAGAGTGAACCTGGAGATGGGACTATGGGGCTTCCATGGTCAGCCACATGCTGGACCTGCTACTACTGCCTGTTCTGTCCATCGCAGCTTTTAAGTAGTTATGAAAAATGCAGCTATTCCAAATATAACTTTGTGAAAATTTTACCTGAAATGACTAGTTTTGACTTTAAGTGAACAGAGTATTATAACTTTTCCTTATTGTCTTTTTTTACTCTATGTATTTTCTTAAGCTGCATTTACAAAAGATACTTTGGAAAATGGCTTTGTACTATAAGTAACAAAAATAAACTTTTTATAACTAATTCCTGTTTCAGATCAGGTCAAGACCCAGCCATGTTTCATTGGTCCTGACCCTGTGGAGCTGTAAGATGATTCCTCTCCCCGGAACGAGCATTCAGGTCCTCAGCAGGCACGTGCGCCTCTGTGTGTTCGACGGTAACAGGGTGAGCTCCCGCGGATGGCTGGGCACACCAGAATGGGGAGGAGCACTATGATATTGATGAAGCCACATGGTAAATGTGCACTACCCAGAACGGGTGTTCTCTTCTCTAGTCTTTCTCCGCATCTGTGTACTGTGTATGTGCTGCAGCCACAGTGGTTCTGAGGATGCAGGTCTCGCCCCTGCCTCTTTCAGTCACTAAATGTGCGATGTTGGTCCATCACAGTTAACCGCCCCAGCCTTAGACTGTTTTTCACCTAAGAGGCACTGGTGCTTATCTTCTAGTGTTGTATGCGGCTCAGACCTTAAGCATACAGCATTGTGTTTTTGACAAATGTGCACACCTGTATGACCAATGCCCTCATCAAGATATAGAGCGTCACTGTCTGTCTCTTTGTGTCCTTTTTCACTCAAGTTCTCCCTGATTTCTGGGAAACTACTTTTTACACAGTACCAAACAAGTCTGAATGGCTTTTAAAAAATTAATGTATCTTTCTTGACGCATACCTTAAACAGTGCTAGATAGAAATGTATAGCTCTAATTGCATATACTAGAAAGAAGAAATATTTAAGACCAGTGATCTAAGCTACCAACTTAAGAGGCTAAAAATAGAACAGTGAGTTAAAGCTGAAGAAAGGAGGAAATAGTAAAGATAAGAGTAGTAATTAATGAAATAAAGAGCAAATAAACCAAAGCTGATTCTTTGAAGAGATTAATAAAACTGAAAGATACCTAATAAGAGTGATCAAGAAATTTTTTTAAAGAAAGAAAACAAGTTATCAATATCTGACATAGAAATAGAAACATCACAGCTTCCATAGAATTAAGACAACCGTAAGGGGACATATAAATTTTGTGCCAATAAATTTGACATTGATGAAATAGATAATTTTGTAAAAAAAATAACATACTGAAATTTCCATGATAAGAAATAAGTAACTTCTGTTAAAGAAATTAAAATTATAATAAAAATATCTTCTCACAAAGAAAATTCCAGGCCCGGATGCCTACGGTAGTAAATTCCTCCAAACATTTAAGGAAGGAATAATTCCAATCTTATGCATACTATTCCAAAGAGTAGATAAAGAAGAAATGCTTCCCAACACATTTCATAAAGCCAGAAAAATGTGACATCAAAATATGACATAAAAAATTACAAGAGCAATATCCTTCATGGATACAGAAACTAAACCCTAAACAAAATATTATCCAATTAGATCTAGTAACATATAAAAAGAACAACATATCATAACCAGTTGGAATCTCTTTCAGGAATTCAAATGTATATACGATTCAAATGTTGTGGCCAACATTTAATGTTTGAAAACCAGTCATTGTAATTTGTTACGTTAATAGGACAAAGAAGAAAAATCATGTGAACATCTCAATAGATATAGAAAAACCATTCTATATATTCCATAGAAAAAGATCTCAATGCTTATTTATAATTTTCAAAAAGTTCTCTAGGAACTAGGAATAAAGGGAACTTCCTCAAATTGTAAAGGACAACAAAAAAAATCTAAATTGACATCATCATACTTAACAATGAAACATTGAACACATTTTCCCTATGGTCAGGAGCAAGTCTGGGGTGTCTAAAAAACAAAAAGATAACTGTTTTTTAAAATTTATTTATTTTTTGTTTACCGGGGATCGAACTCAAGTCCTTGCACTTGCGTAGCAGGTGGCAAAACCACTGAGCTAAATCCCCAGCCCGAGATAACTGTTTTTAAATGAGGAAAAGACTTGGACTTCAAAAAAAGAAAACGTGGCAAACCAGTAAGAATATAAAAGACACTGAACATATAATAAATTATCAGGGAAATACAAATAAAAACTGGGAAAGCCCCAACTATATGCTCTTACAAGAAGCCACCTTAAATATAAAAATGTAGGTAGGTTAAAAGGAGGATGGAAGAAGATACACCATTCAAAGACACTAACATCAGAGTAGTTATTATATACTATGAGAGAGATAATTCATCAAGAATATGTCACAACCCTAACTCTGTACACAGCCAACATCTGAGCTTCAAAATACATGAAATAAAAATGCGTAGAACTGAAAAAAGCAATAGGGAAAGCCATAATTATAGATGGGAACTTTAATACTCCTCTCTCAATGATATAAACAAGCTGACAGAATATTTTAGTAAGGCTGTAAAAGAATCAAATAACTTATCAGCTAACTAAATTGAATTACTATTTTATTTGTACATCACCTCAAAATAGTAAAGTATACTGTCTTTTAAGTACATAGGAATATTAACAAAGATAGATGGGTGATCAGAAGACAAACCTCACAAATTTGAAAGAATTGAAACCCATACATATATTGTCTTTGAGCACATGGAATTAAATTAGACATCAATAACAGAAAGGTAAGTTAGAAAATCCTTAAATATTTGGAAATTTAAAAATTTCTAAATCAACGGGTTAAAAGGGAAAGTAGAATATATTTTGTACTGTAGAGAAAATAAACATGCAGTATATACCTTGTGAGATGTCAGCTAAAGCATTGTTAGAGGGAAACTTTTAGCCCATATGCTTACATTAGAAAAGAGTTCTTAAGTAAGTAGTCAGAGCTGCCTCCAGCAGAAACAGGCTTGAGCTGAGATCTGAGGGGTGACCAGGTTTTCAGTGAAAGAGCCAGCGCAACTATTAATAGCCCATGGGCAGCTGGGGTATACAGCATGGCAGTCAAAGGACGGCAACGTCATCTTCCGGAGAAAAAAACCTGGAGCCTTTTTGCTTAAGCTGAACCCTGGCTCCACACTTGCTCGGTCCAGGCCTTCACCTTGCTGTCTCGCTTTCCTTCTCCAGCAGACACCTTGGGTCAGGGCAGTGGAAGGGCCACGCTTAGGCTAGCACGTGGGACATAGCAGGTGCTTCGTAAGCGTGAGAAGTGAGGGGTGGGCTTACAGTTTAGAAGAGCGAGATGGAGGTGAGAGATGTGAGAGGAAAGAGCCAACACAATCTGTGATGACCTCCGTGGAGGGTAGAGGGAGAGCGGCCTTCTCACGCTTCCATATATGCTTGGTTGGCTCAGTGGCATAGCAGCGCTAGCAGAGGACCGAGCTTGGAGGAGTGAGTTGACGTGGGCTTGGTTCCGTTCATCCGGAGGCTCCCAGCATAGTAAAAATGCCTGTCCGTCCGTGCCCGCCCCCACTCCCCCGCCATGGAGTAAAACAATCACGATCCTCGTTCCTACTGTCCGCACAAAACCTCTTCCATAATGCAGCCAGTAGGTGTCGCCACTGACCAAGCAGATGAATGCTTGCTTTCTCTTAGATCTCGTCTGATACTTTTTCTTATACTTGTTTTCATATATGAGAACTTAAAACAAAAGCTAGAACTTGATTGTTAATATCACCTCAAAATGACAGAAATTTATGTCAAAATCAGAAGTTAATTTATAAAACTAAATTATATTCAATTTCCAAATTGAGAAGTTATAGAACATACTTAGTAGTTACATAAACACCTCATGCTGTTTACTTCAGTGCTTCTTTAATAAACCTAAGCCTAGTTACAAATAAAAAGCATAGTTGTTAAAACTAATTAATGAAACTCCACTTCCAGGACCAACACTTCCAACACCGCACCTGTAAATTCTGGGCCAGTATTTAAAAAAAAAAAGCATCTACCAGAAGCATCTGGTAGGAGACAAACAGACATTGAAAACGACGTTGCATATTCTTAGTAATGTTTGCGGCCAAATGTTGTGGCCTGTAATCCCAGTATTTGGAAGGCTGAGGCAGGAGGATTGCCTCAAGTTCAAGATCAGCCTGGACTACATGGTGAGCTCAAGGCCAACCTGAACTGCATAGTGAGAACTTGTCTCCAAAAAAAAAAAAGCCCAAATAATAATAATTTTTGCTTCAGCCATTAAACATAGTTTAGAAAACCCAAGAGAAAATGTATAGTATTTACTCCTATTTTTACTGTTTTCATTTTCCTTTCTGATGTTCTGAGATTCCTGTTTTAAAATCATGTTCTTTCGGTTTAGAGAATTTCTTTTAGCCATTCTTTTGGGGTAATCTGCTGGTGACAGATTTCTTAAACTTTATCTGAGAATAGGCTCCTTAACAATTCCAGATTGACAGTTCTTCTGAGAGTATGTAAAAAATATCGTGCTGCTTCCTTTTAGCCTCTGGTTTCTGATGAGAAACCCATTCAAATCATTTCTCCCCTGAGGTGAACGTGGGTGTTGTTTCTCTTTCATTGCTTCCCACATCTTTTCTTTGTGTTTACTTTTATGGTGTATCTGGCATGAATTTCTTGGGTTTGTCCTCATTGGAATTTGCTCAGCTTTTTAAATCTATGGGACTATATTTTTTGCCCAATTTGGGGATTGTTCAATATTTATTTTCTCAAATGCTTAACTCCAAACTTTCCTCTCCTCTGGAATGCCAATGACCCATATGTCAGATCTTCTGTTATAATCCCACAGGTTCCTGAGGTTTTCTTTCTGTCTGTCTGTCTGTCTTACTGTCTTTCCCCTACTTTATTTCGGCTCTTCAGATTGTGTAATTTCTATTTTCTTATCTGTAATTTTACTGGTTATTTTCTCTTTTTTCTCTATTCTGCTATTGAGTCTAACCAATGAGTTGGGGGTGGTTTGTCTTGATTGTATTTTTCAGTTCTAGAATTTCCATTTGATTCTTTATATCTTCCATTTTTTTGTTGAGACTTCCTAGTTTTTAAGACTGTATTTCCTCCTATATTTTAAATTTGTTTCAAGCATGTCCAAAGTTATTTATTAATATATTTTTATTTGGCTCCTCTAAAATCTTTGTCCCTACATCTACATTGTCTTAGTGTTAGTGTCTGTTGAATGACCTTTCTTACTCAATTTGGGATTTTCCTGGTTTTCTTGGTAAGATAAGTGGTGTTTTATTGGATTCTGGATATTGGAGGCGTTAAGAGTTTCTGGATCTTAAAGTCTGTTTTAAAGCCAGGTATCGTGACACACACCTATGATCCCAGCACTCAGGAGGCTGAGGCAGGAGGATCACCAGGAATTTGAGGCCAGCCTGGGCTACACAGTGAGTTCAACACCAACCTGAATTACATAGTGAGACCCTGTCTCAAAAAAAAAATTTACAAAGTTCTATTTAACCAGAACTTGACATCAGGCTGTCAGGGGAAGCAGGGAGCTGCCTCATTACTGCCAGGTGAGCATGGAAGCCCTGGTGCTGCACTTGGCCTCTGTCCCCGCCAGGGGAAGGGGCGCCTCTGACTATGAGCCTGATAGCCTTGAAGACCCCCACCCCATGCCTCCATTAATAGCACCCACTGAGTCACTCTTGGGGTCCTGTGACCCCTAGGCAGCCACCTTCCTCCCTTGACATCACACAAAAATAAACATAAGACTGTGACTTTCATTGTTAGATTTTATGTCAAACAAGAACTTAGACAGACTCAATTTTAGTTAATAATATGCATGGCAAAAAGCAGAGACATTTAGTAATGTCTGTAAATTCTCAGTACATCAGAATATAAGGAAAATTGATGGGTGGATAGGTGATATGTATGATGAAACAGGGATAGTAAAAAGCTGTTGGCAGAATTTGGGTGAAGAGCATTTGACTGTTCCCTATAAGGTTCTTTTGTCTAGTCTGGTATGTTTGACATGTTTCATAGTTAACCACCATCATATGTTTTACCCTTTTAAAATTTAATTGAAACCCTTAAGTACTTATTAAAAAACATATCACCTAATTATCTATGCCAATAAAAAGAAATAAAAGACAAACCTGTCTCACACTCAGAATCTTTCTTATCTTAGAATATTACTTCTTTCCAATTTCTGTTTCATTTCCATTTTATATCCCAATCTGATTTTTACTGGATTTATCAATATTTGTTAAATTGTGAACTATTTCAAATACACCAAAACATGCAGAGACTAACACAACAGGGCCCCATGGCTGTACCACCCACCTCTGCTGGAACCTACGTTTGCCATTTGTACCTCTGGTTTTTTAAATTAAAAAATAAGTACTTTCTGCTTACTTCTCTTAAACTAAAACTTCTCTAAAAAATAAAGTCAATTCAAAGTTAATTGGCCATAACTTTCCAGAATTTGGCATAAAGTTTTACATAAAGTTTGGCTCCTTTTGTGTTTCACTGTTTTATGTAAACTGCAGAGTGAATCTCTCGCATGTAGCATTGCATAAGGGTAAATTGCAGGAAAAGTATAATTTGTAGGCCTAGAATCTTGAAGAAAAATGTGATGTGAATCCCAGCTGATGGCAATGTCTGTCTTAGTGACAGGGCAAAGGACAACATCTCTTAAAAGGCCATTTCTATCTGAAATTTCACTCTCGGCTCTTAAGTATTTCACTTATAACAATTTATTACGGGTACAAGGGTCCAAGTCTGAATTCATTTTATTAGTTTCTTCATTGTTTTATTAATAAATGTTGGAACGCTTGTTTTTCACTAATTATTTCAAAAGTTATATGCGTATTGGACTTGATGCTAAAACAAAAACATCACAGAATTGCATGAAATAAAAAATGAGAGCTCCCCTTTCCCACTGTTAACACTCCAGGACTTGGAAGTAGTAATATTTTAGAGAACCTTCTACAGCATGATTTCAAATGGGAAAATCTCATTTCAGGTCCTGAGCAACATTCATACAGTCCGAGCCACGTGGCAACCTAAAAAGCCCAAAACATGGGCTTTTTCTCCCCAGGTAGGTAGTCTGCTGAGTGGATATGATGAGAGATGAACTTCTTTCTCCTATTAAGTGTTCCACCATTGAGATCGGTGTGACAGATGTAGCACAGGATATACGGGCCCAGATTTAAATCTTTAAATTCTTTAGTCTTCCTTGAAGCCTTAGATAAAAAGTTACTCATATTCCTGACTCACCCACATTATAATTCATATGAATCATCTCATTCAATGGATGTCAATTTTAGAAAATACCCATTTGATGAAACATGAAAACAAAAAGATAAAGTTTAGGAAGTGGGGTGTTTTTCAAAAATGACCTCTTCACACTGCACTGCCGAAAGCTGTGTTTTCCAGATAAAATCAAAGGTGACACCCAGGGACCATCACCACTGGGATGGTGTTTCACACCACTAAGGGTTCGTGGATACCAGTGAATCAGATGTGTCTTTATGTTCTTTATCTAGCGTTAATTGTGTATAGTTTAGTTTACTTGATTTCTACCACCAAGGTTTTGTTACTTTAGTATTTTATTTCCCTCCCACAACTAATGTGCTTATGTTACCGCACCCTGAAAACTCTTAATTGTCCTTCCTCTTATTGCGTTAGAAGGTTTTATTACTTTACTTACTTGGTAGAGGTTTCCCAAGGGGACACAGGCCGTGCACAAGGCCTGGCCGTCTCACTGTGTGTGCATGTCCTCTTTCCTCACACAGCTCCTGCAAGTGCAGGGTGACCTTGCACCCCCACCCCCAGGGAGAAGCCTCAGGTCCTGGCATAGCCCTGCACAAGTCTATTGTCTGTGTGTGTGAACTGCGAGGGTGGGATGTTCTAATGCTTTCCCAGAATACAGAGATGAGCTGCTGGGAGGATGAGTAAGTATATAATGCTTGTTGAGTGTAGTTAAGCCTCTGTAAAGTGCCAGGCATTCATCCTGGGTGTGTGGGAGTTTGCAGGTTAGTAGAGAAGAAGCACATCTGTGAATAATGATAACTCCCTCTATCTGTGGTGCTCTTGCCCCGGCCAGGCCCTGTGCTGGGCCCCGTGCGCAGTGTTTTGTTCAAGCCTTAGAGGAGCCCCTTGGGGTGGGCACTGTGGATAGCATCACTTGCCAACTGCAATTGTGATGGGGTTCTGAGTGCTTTGGAGCCCAGGAAGGCGAGGTTAATCCTATCCTTATCCCCAGAGAAGATTTTGTAGAAGAGAAAGTAGACTTTGAAGGATGAGTAGGACTATTTAGGCAAGAAGCAGAGATTTGGTTGTCTAGGGAAAAGGAAGGGATGAGCAAAAGGGAAAGGAAGATTTATAAGAGAGGCATCAGGAGAGCTAAGCAAAGGTGTGCATGCATCTTTCTGTTTATGCAGAGCAGTGGCTAAGTAAATAGCTGGTGATGTATGCAGACTATGCTTTATTACCCCTGGGACCCACTTGAAATACTTGTTTCACAGTGACTCTGCCTGATGCAAAAAGGAAGTGAAAGTAACAGTATTCCCTTGAATAAATGTTTTTATTTCAAATAATTGGTGTAGAAGATAGATCCAGTACATCTGCTTTTTATTTTCTTTAAAAGACCTTTACCATAATGCAAAGGCATAAACCATTTACAGATGGATGGGGCTGAACGTCCACCCCACTGTTCCTTTTTGTCAGTAACTTTGGTTTCTTTATCATTGCAGGTTACTGGCATCTTGCCCTGCTTGCTCGATGGTGATTGTTTCATCAGGTCCAATTCTTCATCTCCAGACCTCAGAATATTGTTTGAACTTGGAATTTCTTATATTCGTAATGTATGTCAGTTGAAAGATAAAGCTTTCCCAGTTGAAAGGGAAGTGATAGAAATATGTCTGTATTTACAGTTAAAATACTAGAAGGCTTCTGTGTAATAGAATTTTAATCCCTTGAGGAATGAGACTGACAGTGATTTTAATTTTTAGATAGTGCTACCTTCTCAGTGGCATTTGTTTGCATTTGTGGCACTAGTAAATACTAATGCATTTAAAGAATGACAATTTAAAAAGGCTGGGACTGTGTAGAAAGTGATAAAAGTGACAGAAGCATTCTAGCTCAGGGCTCGGTCACCTCTGTCCTCCAGGGACCAAGTGCTCTTAGCTTTTTTTTTTTTTATGGTGACTTTCCGTACACTTTATTCTAAATAGCTCTTGAAACTAAACCAAACTACCAGTTTTTCTTATTTTGTTCTCTTTAGCTCACCTCTAAATCCAGGAACTTTGGCTATATGTAATCCTTTGTTGAGTTTTCTTTACACTCAGTTCTGGAAATGTCTTATTACACAGCCCTCCAAATGTGATTAAGTGCCTTCTTTGCAGATGCTGCTTCATGGCCTTAACTGCTGTAAGCAGCAGAACTCTATTGGTATATCTTGTCTTTTCACAGCAACACAATTTCTCTAGCCTTTACTGCTTCAAATTAAAGCATGTTGCCAACATTTTTTTTGTTTACTTCTTATAGTGCTTGATTTCTTGTGAGAAGAAGTTGTATATCAACCTATATTTTCTTTTTCTGTAATTTGCATTGTAACTTGCAAGGATTCCTGTTTTGTTTTCACCTGTTTTTAGCATCTTTCTGTCATCCTAATGGATTCTTGGGTTGAAGAATCATAGCCACCGATTCCTAATGCATTTTATTTTCCAGATGCTGGCCTCAATATGAATTTTGTTATTAGCTCTAGATTGTTTTATTCAGTTCCTCTTTCCTCCATTTCATAAAATAATTAGTCTCAATTTTCCTTTATTTTTGCCTTATACCTAACTCTCTGCCTTGTAGAAAGTTACCTCAAGGTGGTGATTTTCTTTTTTCTTTTTCTTTCTTTTTTCTATCCATTTTTTTATACATTATGATTCCACATCTCAAAGGATAACTGCCAACAAGGGAAATTCTGTCATGGACCAAAGACATGAAAAAATCTCACAGTTGTAGAGGTTTTATTCCATACTCAACTGACTCTGAAGCAGGGTGGCAGGGGAGAGGGGCATTACAGAGGAGAAACAGTCCATGAAGTGGCAGTCAGAAGGCAGCAAACAGCAAGCAGGAACCCAAGTGCTCTTAGCTTTGAAACTGTAAGTTATTAAAGGACCTGGCAGAGCGATCATTTTATTAAGAGCACACCAGAAACGTGGGTTAACAAGGTCCATGAACTATTGAACCTGCAGGTGTGAGCTGTGCTAGTAAATCCACATCTGCACATTCTAATAATAGCTTGAGAGGTGTAGAATATAAACTTGGCTCCTGTCAGGCATGGTGGTGCATGCTTGCGATCCCAGCCCTCAGGAGGCTGAGGCAGGAGGATCACTGAGTTTCAGGCCAGCCTGAACTACACAGTCAGACCCTGTCTCAATAATAATAATAAGATTAATAATAAAAATAATAAATGTGGAGGAAAGTTTCTAGGCTTAGGACACTTGTTAAACATCTAAGTCTACTACATATTTAAAGAAAAAACTAGCTTAAGGTAGACATAACAACAAAAGATGTAACACAGCCAACATACTTGACTTTGACACTACACAACAGACAGACAAATATCCCACTAGGCTCTACTTGGAGCAGCGACAACTACCAATGGTTTCTCCTCCACTTTTCTCATTCCCCTTTTGAGGAATGAAAGGGCTAGAAAAAAATCACTTTTCCTTTACCATATGTTCTGCCAAATGCTTAACGTTACCTGAGAAAGAAAAATTTGTGGGGACTTAAATGTAAGATATCTCTTGTAAAAAGGAGGACAAAGTTTAGGAAACTTGTATCATGCTTATAAAGGACAAAGTATGTATTAACAAATGGCCTTAACTAAACAAGGCTTGGTGGTGTATGCCTATAATCCCAGTGCTGAAGCTGAGGCAGGAGAATCTCAGTTTAGGCTACCTAGGAAGTTTAAGACTAGCCTGAATTTTACATATCAAAAAAAGTCTTAACTAGGATGCCCTTAGGGCAATGATAGCCTATCACTGAAAGGGCTAAAAGGCTCACCATCACTGCTTTAGGGCAAGCATGTCACCCAGGACAATCAGTTTATGCCAGCTGTTCTAGCAAAATTATAAATTAGTATCCTTTGTTTTCAAGGTGTCCTGATTTGGATGATAAATTAGAATTTTTTCCCCCCCTTTGGAGACAGGGTCTTGCTTGGCAGCCTAGGCTGGCCTCGAACTCAGGGCGATCCTCCCACCTCAGTCTCCTCAGTGCTGGGATTACAGGCATGTTCCACAGTACCCAGTGACATTTTATTGCATTTTATTTTCATCAGCAACCTTTTGGGGAGGTTTTTTGTTTTGAGACAGGGTCTCACCATGCAGTTCAGGCTGGCCTCCAATTCAGTGTTCCTCCTGCCTCAGCCTCCAGAGTGCTGGGATTACAGGCATGTGCCCCCATGCCTGACCCCTGCAACCTTTTATTATTACTTGATACTATTCAGCACAAAATTGTTCCTAGGAGTGTGATTAAGTATGAATATTTAATGAACGCAAGACTTTGGCAATTCAAATTTGTTGGTTTTTTGGTACTGGGAATCAAACTCAGTACCTTGCATTTGCCAGGCAGGTTAAATTTGCTTATCTGTACCAAACTTAACTATTTCAAAACCATTAAAATTAGCTGGGCAGAGCTGGGGATTTAGCTCAGTGATTTCACCGCCTGCGCGCAAGGACCCAAGTTCGATCCCTGGTACCAAAAAAAAAAAAAAAAAAACTATATGCAAAATTGGCTGGGCACCATGGCTCACACCTGTAATTCCAGCACTTAGGAGGCTGAGGCAGGAGGATCAGTGCAGTTCGAGGCCAGCCTGAACTATACAATGAGATCCAAAGACAGGAAAAGTAACTATTTTTGGCTATTGTTCCTCTAGGCTCTTTGGAACATTTATGAATCACATACATGCCAACCTTTGCCCCACTTAAAAGTTCTAACAACTTTAACTTGAAAGTATTCATTAAGACAAAGGTAGAAAAACAACTAGGTATGGTATACCTGTAACCCAACTACTATGGAAGATGAGGCAGGACTGAAAATTTGCAAGATTAAGGCCAGCCTGGGCAACTTAGGGCATATTTTAAGACTGGACTTGGGCATGTTGGCACATAGCATTCAGGAGGCTGAGGTAGAAAGATCCCTAAAGTTTGAAGATGGCCTGACCTACATGAGACTCTCAAAAAAAAGGCCAGGAATTTAGCTCAGTATTGCCCTGCCTGTCTCACAAGCACAAGGTCCTAAGTTCAATCCCCTGTACCAGAAAACTAAAAACAAAAACATAGAAGCCAGGAATGGTGGCACATGCCTGTCATGCCACCCCTAGGGAGGCTAAGACAAGAGAAGTGCTGTGTGAGTTTGAGGCCAACCTGGGCTACACAGTGAGTTCAGGGCCAGTCTAAACTACACAGTGAGACCCTGTCTCAAAAAAAAAGGAAACAAAACAAAGGAGGTAATGACACCTATCTATGTACACACATTCTGAGATCACCTATAATTCCTCATTCTAGTTTCCTTTTCTATCCCTTAAAATGGGACTTTACGTTTTGAAAGAAAGCAGCAAGTAGCTGGGCATGGTGTCACATACCTGAAATCCCAACATTTTGGGAGGGTGAAGCAGAAGACTGGGAATGTAGTTCAGTTGGAAGACCCTGAGTTCAATCCTGGGGGTAGGGGGGTTTCCTGGTTCTTTAGAGAGGCCCAAAGAGAATTTACCTATAATCCAGAATGGATAGTAGGGCTGGGGATTTGCTCAGTAGTTCCAATGCCTGCCTCGCAAGCGCAAGGTCCGAAGTTTGATCCCCAGTACCAAAAAAAAAAATCATCTAGCAAAATGGATAGTAGACACAGCACCTGCCTGGAAAGTACGAGACTGAGATTGATTCCCAGTACCAAAAAAATAAATAAAAAGGATACTAGACAAGTCATAAACATCAAGATACTACTATTTGGTACCACAAAAGAAAAAAAAAAAGACATCTGTGTTTGAAGTAATCACTAAAGAAACAAGCATATCCCACTCCTCCCCCAGAAAGCACTACCTTACACATAGGTATTTTGTGAATGTCTAAGGGAAAAGTACTGGTTGAAAGATCAGCAGACAAGTTCTGGCTTTACCACATAATAGCTGATTAGAAATTACCAAAAAAAAAAAAAACCCTTCAATGGGCTGGGGATTTAGCTCAGTGGTGCTGCCGCCTGCCTCCCAAGCACAAGGTCTTGAGTTCGATCCCCGTGCCAAAATAAAACCTTCACTATATTGTCTCAAATTCATTTTCCTAAGCCATAAACTGAAGTATTACAAAAGTACTAACTACTATAGATCACAGTTATTTACTTCAATATTGTCAAATAAGTTTTTTTGTGAAAATGGCCCATGAATTGTGAAACTCTATATAAACATTATATTTAATATTTAGTTTTAAAATTCAGCCTTTCCTGTATGCCTCCCATTACTATTTGTAAGTAGTTTTCTTGAAATAATGTAAAAATATTCCCACAAAATCAGCCTTACAATATCGAATAGTTTCTCTAGTGTGAGAAACTGAAAATGTAAATAAGGACTAATACGTTTAATAGATAATGTGAAATAGGAAGAAAAGGGGCTAAGGGGAAGGGGGGAAGTAGGAGGGGTAGGGGAAAGGAAAGAAGGGAATGGAATTAATATGAGAAAATGAAAAAATGGAAACAAAGTCT